AAAAAATCATTTTCAAAATGTCATTTCGATGAAAAAGAAGAGATTACTATTTAAATAAGAAAATACAAATATTTTGCACCATAAACCAACAAATTGCGTTCTTCTAATTCAACTAACATTACCAATTGAGCTATCCTATCATGGAGGATTTTGCTAAGGTTAAAACTGAATAACTTCTTAGTCAAAACTAAAAATTATTTAAATTTCGGATCAGAATTATTTTCTCTTAGCCAAAATGAAGTTTAGACGACTACGTAGACTATTAAAGGGTAATTTAGTATTTGTTATATTTTGAGAAAAATTTAGCTATTAAAGTTTATTCTTTTTTAGAGTGTACGTGACATTCTTATCTTTGTTATCTTTGTGTATAAATAGGTGTACCTAGGTCTCATTAATTATTCAATTTCTTTTACCAATCATTAACAGTCGTCTTTATCATTATATATTTTCTCTCTTCTTCCTCAATTTCATCACCTTGCAACAACAATTAGTATCTAGAGCTCCTGGTTGTTCTGAATTTCTGGGAAACACGAGTGAAAGTGAGTTGTGTGTTTGATTTTGGTTCTTGATTTCTGTTGAATCTTGAACAAAATCTGAACAGAATCACACTGATTCTGTGGGTTTGGGAAACACTGAGTAAGATTTGAGATTTGTACAAGATTTAAGATGAGTGGAGGCAGTAGTTTGAACACTAAACTTTCAGTTTTTGATGGCAAAAGCTAAAATAGATGGATGATACAGATGCGTGTGCTGTTTGGTGCTCAAGATGTTCTGGATCTGGTTACCAATGCTTATGTTCCAGTTGCAGCAGATGCTACTGAAGAACAAAGATCTGCAGAAAGAGCTACGAGGAAGAAGGATCATAAAGCCCTGTTCTATATTCATTTGTGTATGGATGAAAGTGTGTTTGAGAAGATTGCTGATTCGATGATGTCGAAAGAGGTATGAGATATACTGGTCAGATGTTACGGTGGTGACGCGTCAGTGAAGAAGGTGAAGCTTCAGTCCCTGCGAAAGCAATATGAGAATCTCAACATGAAGAACAGTGAGAAAGTTTCTGAGTACATCTCCAGAATGATTCTGATCACTAATGAGATGAAAGCTTGTGGAGAAACACTTTCTGAACAGGTAATCATAGAGAAGATTCTAAGGTCGCTTACTCCTCAGTTTGATTACATTGTTGTTTCTATTGAACATTCTAAAAATCTGGAAACCATGAGAATAGAAGAGTTGCAAAGCAGTTTAGAAACGCAGGAGTTGCGTCTGACTGAAAGAACTTCTGAGAGGGAAGTTGAGCAAGCTCTGAAGGCTTCTATTGAACATTCCTTTTGAACTTGATTAACGCTTGAACTTGTAGCCATTTTAATATTACAAACTCTAATGCCAAATGTTGACAATAAAATCTCATTGTCTTGATATAAATATGTTGATCTAAGAATAACAAGGAAAAGAATATTAAAACTTTCTTCAAAAGTACTAAAAAAAACTCGTTGGAGTTTTTTTTCTCTTTATTATGTAACTTTGTTTTCTTTGTGATTGATTACAATGTTACAATTGATAACTATTTATACTAATAAAAACATGCATATTTTTAGTTATAGTAAACAACGTTCATCCAATCATTTAAGACTTTCCTTAATTCACATCTCTAATTCATATTCATTGAAACTCTTCAAATATAGAATAAGTTAAGTTTAGCTTTCAACGTCTTCTAATTAAATTTGACCTCTTAATTATTCATTTATATCAATAATATTTTGACATTTTTTTTAATTCTTTTAATATGTGTTTTAAATTCATCCAAAAAATATATAATGTGTGTTAAACAAAGAAAAATAATAATTTAAAAAAATTTATTTGAGTTATTGGACATATATCATATGAAGGTCATAAAAATGTGTAAAGAAAAAAAACTTTTAGGATACTAATTTGAGCTTTTCTACTATTTTATTTTATTTTAGAATTAGAGTTTATTTAATAAGACTAAAAAAAAGTTTTTAGTTATTCAGCTCACATTAATAAAAAAAATTATGTTTGATAATTCAATTTTAGCTTTTAATTTATAGTTTTTTTTATTAATTTTTAGTTTTGTATCAAAATCTATTTAAAGTAACTTTTGAGTTTGTAGTTTTTAGTTTGTGTCTTTTTCTCTTATTTATATCCTTATTATTTTTAATAAAAATGTATTATTATCCTTATTAATTAAAATGACATTAATATCATTTTGTATTTATCAGTTAATGAAATAACTAATTTATCAAACACATATATTAATTTATCAGCTATAAGTTTTTCGCTATCAACTACCTGATAGTTTTTACCAAAGAGAACTTTAAACTTAGTGGGACACTTATACATAGAAAAATTTGCGTAGAAACGAACTTAAATCTTTATTTATTTTTTATTAAAAAATATTCGTTCATTCAAATAATACAAATTTGCGTAGAATACATTGAATAATACAAATTCTAAATCGCTATAAACTGGAAAAAAATGAATCTACGAACAAACTCACATCACTCATGTTAATAGCATTGAAATGCTCGGAATACCCATATCTCCGAGTCTGCAGCGTTGACGATGTCAAAATTATTAGTTAAATATGCACCGAGTCGAAATTAATCTGAACCGAACAAACACCGCACTAAGACGGAAAACAAAATAATATCGCAATAAGACGATCACCAACACAACGCCGCACTAAGACGACGAAATCACAAAGAAAAAAAATTAAAATTATATGTAAAAACATTTATTTGAATGGAAAGGAAAGAAAAAGAATTCAGATGAGTGATTTTGGGTCAAAATTGATCCTAAAACAACCCCTGGATCAAGAACAAAAGAAAATTAGAATAGAAGAAAGAAGAATGACAAGAGAGACAGCTAGGTTTCGATTCTTAAATCTTTATTATTAAAAATAACTAATAATAATAGAAAAAAAATTAAATTTATTTAAAATTTAATTATTTTTTAAAATTGGAATCATAAGTAGTTGTAATTATGAAAAAGGGAAAATATTGTATTGTTAATTTTTAATTAATAAAATAATAATAATTAATTAATTATAAAACCAAATATTATATTTATGTCTACTTAAGTATTTCTCATTTAAACATTAATCAGATAGATGTGTTTCTCGTGTATATCATGTATTTCGTATAAAATCAACGTAGAGAAAAAATATAAATCTGAGATAACAATTATTTACAACTCGTATTTTCTTCTCTTGAATCTCCTTGTCTCTTCCTTATATTCTCTGTTTTTAATTTCTCTCAATCTGATTTCTCAATCTCACCATTACTTTTTCTGGTACAAGAACAACACCACAAGAAAAATTTAATTAACAAAACAATAAAAACACAACATCACAATAAAAACACAAACATATCATCTCATCTACTTATTTACCCTTAAAAATACATTTCAAAAAGCTATCAAAAACCAAACACTAAATAGAAAAACAACATTATTATGCAAATAATAATAGAAAGGTTCAAAAATTGAACAAATTAAGCATACAAAAGTTTGATTAGCTCTCCCCATAAGAAGCCCTTCTATTCAACAAGAATAAATAATCAAAAACATAATTAATAATAATAATAATAATAATAATAATAATAATAATAATAATAATAATAATAATAATAATAATAATAATAATAATAATAATAATAATAATAATAATAAATATAATATTTAATGTAATATTTAATTTCTTATAAGATACGTCAACTTTTAATTTCTTTTGAAACTTTATAAATTTATTGTAAAAAAATATAATTTTTATTAAATATTTTTTAATTACATTAATGTGTTGTATTTGTCCCTTTAAGCTGTCTAAAAAAGAAAACCAAATTATAATATGTAAAAGAAAATTGCAAAGCAATTTTTAAAAATTGAAATACAGTATTGAGAAGAAGATGTTGATGATGGAAGATCCGTATTGAAAAAAAAATTGAAAGTGGACTTCAAGCCCATTGGGTTGTATCATTAGCCCAATAAACAAACAATACAATTAGTTATGAATAGTTGAGTTATAAACACATAAATTTTGTTAAACTTGGGATTTGAATAATAAACCAATCCAGGAAACTATTTACCCACCCCATGTAATACGCCATGCTTCTCTTCTTCTATGTTAGTTTGTATTGTCAGGTATATTCAGCATTGGAAACACAGCTGAATTTGTTAAAAAAATTAGCTTATATCACACATCTTTTGAAAACTAACTTGTTTATTTTATTGCAAAAAGGCTGAATCAATTTAAACTTTGGCCTAAAATATTCATTTTAAAGTTTGTTTGTATTACATTGCTGATAACAAAATATCTTGCTAAGCGGACTAGTGGCAAATTACAATAACAAAAGATAAGTAAGATATTACAATATTTGTAGTTAACACTTGGAAATCTATAATTTTTCAAAAAATATTTGTCTACGTGTATAAAGATCATAAAAATATATAATTTTTCAAAAAATATTTGTCTACATGTATAAAGATCATAAATTTTTTTATCATACATATACGAAGATTGGACACTAATTCAAAGAGTACTGAAATAAATAAATAAATATTTTTTTAAATGCGAATTTGAATTTTTCAACCTTTGTCATACATGAGTGCCGAATGCATATACTGATATGTGTCGTATACCTATGAACATTCATTGGATAGCTGTGATTTTTGGGTATAGATGCATCATGGAGAAAAAATATGATTCCGAGATAACAGTTTGTTACATCTTTTGTTTCCTTCTCTTGAATATTTGTCTCTTCCTCATATTCTCTCATTTTAGTTTTTCTCAATCTCACCATGGTTTTTTCTAGTACAAGAGAAGATCTAATTAACAAAATATAGAAACACAAACATATGATCTCATCTACATATTTACCCTAAAAAGTACATTTAAAAAAGTTATGAAAAACAAAACACTAAATAGAAAAACAACAACATTATTATGCAAAGAATAATACTAGAAAGGTTAAAAAATGTTGAACTAATTAAGCATTCAACCAAGCAGAAGCAAAGACAACATTATGACCTTTCCATGTAAGCACAATACATTCATCTTCTTTCTTCAATCCCCATCCAGCAGCATGTTCATCAAGCATAGCTTTGACTTCACCAACACATTCCTCACCAAATCCAATCCCTTGAAAATTCGCATTTCTCATTCTTTGTTCCCATTTTCCTATAGGCTCAACTCTCTCTACTCTTTGAACACCTTCATGAGCTATCACATTCTCAATCTTCCAACAAATATCACCTTCATACCATTGCCTTTGTTTGCTTCCGCGCGGCAGAAAAGTGTCCACCGTATCATAAGGTATCCATAGATAGTTAAATGCTGACCTTAATCTAGTAACCAAGTTGCTTGAAGTTAAATCAACATCTTCATCTACTAAAACAACTAGTGTTGGATCTAAACCTCGAAGCGCCTGAAGAAACAACGATCTTAGAGAAGTAGTACTAGTAGTAGTAGTAGTAGTCGTCGTCGTGGTCGCAGCAGAAGAAGAAGATATAGAGTCATAAAGATAAGAGTTTGAATTTGATAGGGTTTCATCTGGAATATAATGAAGCATCATGTGACAGTTAATAACCAAAGCTTCACCTGAATAAACTAAACGTTGAACTCTCAAATGTTCGATCAAAGAAGCAAAACCATTTGTGTAACTTGAAGAAACTACTCTGAATTCCAATGTTACATTTCTCGACCTAGCGAAATTCACCAACTTAGATCCTAATTCTTCATAAGAAAGATCAAGTTTAGGTGGAAGTTCATGATCAGTGCTACAAGCATGATCAGAAACAGTGAGTTTGATTAAAGGAGCAACTTCGTGGCGATTAGCGATAGCATCGATTAATGTTGGAATCTGCATGCAATGAGTTGAACTCAAATCAACTATATGAATAACCGAGAAACCTTCCGTTGCTTCAAGAATGGCTGCATTAGCGGCTGCGAAACCGAATCGATGCCAAGGTGTTAAATCAACAAAATTAGCTAGTTCAATGACTGAGAATCTGTGCGTATCTACTGTAAGAGTGTTATGAGCAGTTGAACAAACTTGTTCTACTAGCATTTTGCAGGTACCAGTTTTGGCTGCGCGATGTGTAAGAGCTCTAAGGAAACTATAAGCTAAGCGTTGATTTGAATCGCCGTCTTGCGGTGCTATGTTGTTGAGAACCCAAAGGATTTGTTGAGCAAGTGTTACATCGTTGGTTTCGATTGCGTTAGCGCAATGAACAAGTAACTGTTCCATGCAATTGGTGTCACCAAAGGTTGATAAGGCTTTGGAAGTTGGGAACCATGGTTTAGTTGGTATTTGACTGTTTTTGTTCATGGAAGAAGAAGGGTTTGAAAGCATATAAGGTAGTGAAGGTGTGAATTGCGTCATAGATAGATAGAAAGCTATATAAATGAAACTTCTGGATGCTTCCGGTTACGCTGCAAACGTTTATATTGAATAAGATGAATTGAAAACAGCGGTTTGATACGGTTGCAGAGGCATGAGATGAATGAATATGTTTATCGTTGGGAAATGATCCAGTTGTTGGAGTAGGGTTTAATGGGAGAAGATGTGCACATGAATCAAAGGAAAGAAAGAAAAAGGACGTTACAAGTTAGTGAGTGGGCCGGGGATAATAATATTATGGTTTGATGCTATAAAAGGGACTGATCATGAACAAACTCATATCCCGAAAAAACATATTTCAAGTCAAATTGGGCAAAAGAGACGGTTCTTGAAAAAGTGATCAGGCTTTAACAGATATGTACTGTAAAAACCCTGTAAAGAACCAGAAAAAGAGTTTATGGAAAGAAACCATGGCTACAAATGGTTGTGATCTAGCTCTATTGAGAGAGTGGTACCTTGCTTCGTTAGGAAAGAGAAAGAGTGAGAGAGATGTGTCTGATATAAGACCAAGAGAGAGAGAGAGAGAGAGAAAGAGAGAACCTGTAAACTTGTAAGATTTTGGTGGCATGTGAAGTAGCCGGCCACCAGATTGTTTGTATTTGGGAGATGAAAAATTTGTCTGTATTTTGGTGGCATGTGAACCTGAAAATTTGTCTCACGGGTTAGTGCATAATGAATGAATCATTTTCGGACACTTTTTTTCTCTTTTGCAGTTCCTGTTCTTCCTATGTTATGCAGCTATATTTTGTTTACCTTTCTTATGCTGAAAATATGGCCTAACCTAAGTATAGGTTGCAAAGGTTGACACTGCAAGAAAGAAACACTGGATATGGTTTTTTATTGGTCAAGTACAAATTCGCATCATAAATACTTGTTTATTGAGCTGCAGTGTTACAGATTTAACGGTTACGATTTAGGCCGTTTAAGACCAAAAACTTGAAATAAATATATCAATTTTTAAGGGTTAAATGCACTTTAATCCCATATTTCAATATTCTTAATTTTTTGCATTTTTTTAAAAAAAAATTAGCTTTTTGATCTTATTATTTACATTCTTTATTTTTTTTTATGGTCCCATTTGACAAAACACTGTCTAATGCCACCTACTTTTTTTTACCATGTCATTATATTATTCTATTTTTCTGATTTATATTTTTAATATATGAAAAATATTTAAAATAATTATTTTTTAAAATTTAAAGGATATAAAAATAAAAATCAAGAAACATAAGTTTTGATTATGATTTTTCATCTTGTTCTCTGATCTTTATCTTCACTAATCTATTTATCCTAGTGTAGCGGTAGAACTGTTGAGACTAAGTCATTGGATTGATTTGATATAAATCAAATCAAATTACCATCGCACTTTATTGTTTCCAGAGGAATGAGAAAATAGAGAACAAATCCAAAAAGAAGGGAAAAAAAATCTAAGTACGGGGGTTGATTATACAAAGGGAAAGTATTAACATTCTAAACATCTACGTTACTCGGCAGAAACCTCTTTGAAAATTTGTGTATTTTGACTATAAATGTTGTATACAAAAATAGATGTTGGAGATGAGAAAAGAAGCATTATTATTTTTTTACAATTTTTGCACTTGCCGCAGTTGTGAATCTGTAGTGCCTACGTACCATCTTTCGTACAATAGGGGATCAAGATACTCGTAGTTCACCTCAAAAATTTTAAAACACAAGTGTGTTGATTAATTTTAAGAGAAGAGACATCATCGTTGTATATGAGTGGAAAACATATTTACTATCCACAATTATGAGAAAGGAGAATTTACATCATCTCAAAGTAGAGGATATAACTTAGATTTAAGATCAACAAAGTCTCGCTCAACACTTAAGTTAAAAATATCTCACTTCACTACATATCATGGAAGTATAGTAGCTTGCATCACTAAAAGGATTGACAAGAGTCTAATCTTTTAAGAAAATTCTAAAGTAAAAAACCAAAGTGGCAAAATGGTTTGAATGAGGTTAATTGACTTTTAGTCTTCTCACAAACAACGTCAAAGTATGATTAAGTTGGTTGAAGTTTGATTAAGAAAAGATTTTTGAAAATGCATGGACTTGAGTCCAAGTTTATTATGAAAGCGGTTTAAGTTAGAAAACAAGAAGAGTTTTTATGAAAAGGAGGGTGAAGATTTTTGAAATTAAAGAAGATAGGAGGAGATGAAGACTATCCTAAAATATAAGGTAAAAGCTAAGGGAAAGAACGACCTAACCAACAAGAAACCAACACTTGACATAAAGAGTCAATGTAGAATTCACATCCTTTGAATTGAAATCAAGCAAGAAAAAATACTAAACCTCTGAGAGATACATAACTTCAGATGAATTAAGTCTTTACAAAAATTGGGCAGAGTAACGACTGTACACACAGAAATTCTCAATCACAGACAAAACATATAATCAGAATAACCTGCACACAAAGAAAATCAACTCAATATCTTAGGGTAAATCTCAAGAACTCCAGACAAAATAACAACATAATTACAAGGTCTCAAGGGTAATCAAGGCTTCTAATCCTAAGTCCAAGAGGTTCACAACTCCATTATGCCAAGGATAGTAACCAAATAGTCCAAGTAACCTTAAGGTTTTTAATGTTCAAGTTGATTATTAAGTGTCTTCAAAAAGAAAAGAAAGGTCAAGTGAGCAAAAATAAAAAGACATAAAGATAAATGCTCAAATGAGCAAAGATAAAATGATATAAAGATAAATGCTCAAATGAGCAAAGATGAAAATAGCATGAAATATAAATGCTAAAGTAAATAGTGCATAAAAGTAAAGACATAAAATAAAGGACATAAAGTAAAAGCACAAAGTAAAAATACAAAGTAAAAACATAAAATAAAGTCAATTGTTAATGAATTAGAAGTTAAAGGTTAGTTGAATGGCCGTTTTGAAACTTGCATTTGAAAACTCATTAGAAGATTGATAAAATTAAAGCTTCTCAACAACAATGTCTCATTTTCTTTTTGTCAAGTATATCATTCGTTTCAAATGCTCAAAGAAACCTCATATGATCAACGATATTTAAATGATTCGCTTAGACCAAAATTCATGAAGGTTCATTAGGGGATTGATAAGATCAAAGCATCCTAACAATGAACTCCAAGGTTATTGGATCAAAGGTTTGACATTAAACATATGTGGGCTTGCAAACATAGGTTCGGGCCATGATTGATCATTTTTGAATCGCGACAAATTTATCGCTATGTTAAGCAATTGTAAATGGACTTATGTAGAAGTCACGCCTATTTTGAGGTCGATCAATAGCAATATATGTACCATATGTTAGAGAAATGATATGTAGATTATTCTCCAACAACATGTAGCACAAGTAAGAAAGGGATAAGATGAAGAGCGGGGGGATGTATCAGATGAAATTAGGATTTCAAATATCATCAACATCATTCATCCATTTTGGTGGCTTTGGTTTTTCAACCTATCAACACCCAAGATCCAATGAGGTTGAGGAACTTGTCCCAAAATAACACCCAAATCAGGACCAAGCAAAAATAATAGCATAATATTTAATAGAATAATATTTAAATAATTAATAAAAGGAAAATAATTGGTAAAATACACAAAGTATATTAAAACACCAAATAAAAATCCTAAAAAAATGTCTGAGGTCAAACAAAAGTCAATAAGTGTTGACAATTTTTTTGGAATTTCTTAAAGTCAAAAACTACTTTTTAAAATTTAAAGAAATAAGCAAAATAAACTAAAAATTATAAAAAATAGTAAAATCAGAAATAAAAATAAAATGAGGTCATCAATATTTGTCAAGAGGTCATTGGATCCTTCCATATCTTTTCCAGAGTTTAAAAATCAAGAAAAGTATTTTTGAACAATTAAAACATTTCAAATAAAGTGAAAATCATAAAAACTACAAAATCATAAAATAAAATTTTGAAAAAATATGAATCACAAAGAGAAAAATAAAAAGTATTTTTGAGAACTTTTTCAGAATTTTAGAAGTTGAAATGAATTTTTTATGAATTCTTGAAGTTTAAAACAAGTAAATCAAAAATCAGAAAATAAAAATAATGTCAAAATAATGTGGACTATCTGATCATAGTCAAAACGTGTTAGTAAACAAATCCAAAGGACCTGGCGCGTTGTGCTTGATATGGACCTTAATGAGAAACACACACAATCAATTAAAATTGGGCCAATGAAATTAAAACAACCGTCACACCATCATTGGTTAAAGAACGACATGTAGGTCATCTTCAACCTCCAAACCCCTGCGTGTTGCCTTTTTGTGAGTTTATTCAAATGGAAAAATTAGAAACTCATAGTGGTATCATTAGATTTGTCTCTTCAAGACGATCCTAACCCTACACTTGCGAAAAATTTATATGAAACACAGCTTACTCGATTTGGAAAAAACCAGAGAGTTTTGAAAACTTTGAAATAAAAAACAGAAGCATCAAATTCATTGATTCACCAAAATTGAGTGAATAGAAAACATCAGTGAACATCATAAATCATTTAAGTAATTTGAGTTAGAAGATTTGGTGCTTTAAACTACCTGAACGAAGTCAGGTGAATTTGCTCTGAAACTGAACTTTGCTTGAATAGAATAGGGCATGATTTGACTTGCTTTTTGTTTGAGAAGCTCCACACAAGTTCACTAAAGAAGAATAACAACAGAAATTGAATTGAAAAATAAAGAAATAGTGAATTCGAAAACTCGAAAAAGTGAGTTGTGGAGAAAAAGTGGCAGGGTAATTTTAGTTATCAAAGCTTGAGGAAATGAGTGCAATATTCCCCTCTATTTATAAGAGAGTGAATGGTGAAAAGAATTGGAAGAAATAGTGAGGTCTGGACGAAAATTGAGTGAAGCCCGAAAATGAGAAAACTGTAATTTGAACTTGCTCAAAACGCAGCTAATTCTTACGTTCCAATGCTCTAATCATGCTTTAGAACTTTGTTAAACATGTTTAAATAAAAAACGTGCTGCA